TGCCTGCGCGCAGTCCAAGTGAGCCAAAAGTGGGGGAAAGCATGCCCTTGTATCGTGGGCTTTAGAAAGATTGACGAGCTCTTCAGCCAATGAGGCAGAAACCGCACACCTTCGTAATTTAAAACCGTGGATTCTTCGCGCGCTTTTTCCTCACTTTTTCCGCCATTTCATTTTATTTACCTTTCTATCATCTTGTAGAGCTGCAATATGTTCTGAGAACAATTTTTTTCCGCCAAAATGGTAATTATGCGTCGCTTGGCTGTAAAATAGAAAATAGCAGGATCCGGTATTACTTTCAACAGGTAATATTCTTTAACATATACTATATTTTAATTACTTTGCTAAAATTAGAAAAATTTGCTGTGCATGTTTAAACATCCCAAGGAACGGCTGCAAGTGATGAAATTGGTATCAATTCTAATGATTATCAGGATATGCAGAGGGAAAATAACAGTACAAAGGGACTGATTCCATTAAAATGAGTTTAATGAGAAATGCATATGTATTACATGCTGTCCTTAATGAATGCTAGCTAAAGTATTGGAAAATAAATAATAAATACTCAAACCATTAATTATTTATTTTAGTTGTTCTAAATATATACAGGTATAATTCTCAATTTTCCATGTTAGAAATACTACTTCGTTTGAAAAATGAATTGCATGACATGATAAAAATAGTATTTAAATTCTGCATTGTTATTTTTAAAAGCCCACAAAATCACCCCAATTAAATCCCTATTAAATATTTACTTGAACAAAAATAAAATTAAATACATAAAATATGACTTGTATGTAATATATCACACCTTTAAAATAACGCGTTTTCTTTTACACGTGAGTGACCACTCCCCCTCCATTGTTTACTTCCGTTTTGCTTTTACAACTTTAATTACGAGTATAATACTAAAACCATAATTGAAGAAAATCTGAGATATAGATGTTCTTCGCTCACGTCACACCGAGAATACTCAAACTCTTTGCTGGGGCTTAAACGCATTTCAATTATTCTACTTATTTTGCTGTAAAAACATTCTTTATATGAAATGAAATCCGAAATGTAGACATATGTCAATGTAACCATTCACCTTAAACCCTTTCACGTTTCACATAAGAAATCAAAACCCACTCAAAATTCAAAAAAGCTGACGTTTAACCTCACTTCACATAGTAAGGGAGCGTTTTTGCCTCACGAGGTGGCTTATTTGCTTCCCCGGCTTCACTCTCCACGTATTGCGACAGCAGAGACGCCATCTCCATGTATTCTAACCTCCTTGATTCTAACCTTCTTGCACCAAACATTTTCTCTTCGAAATCATAATAATTTCTTCGAGCTAGGCTTAGAGTGCCATCTAACGGAGGTGCTTTTCGTGTCACCTGCTCAAATTTGTGGCAGCAATTGAATAAGCAAAAAAAAAAAGTTCAGTTTTCTGTTTTTCTTTCATTGACGAATAACGAATGAAATTAGTACTCGTCAGAGTTTGTAGGTAACATATGCTAATGTGAAGAAATTGCTACAGACGACATATCTTAGAATTTGATGGCTTCATTAACTGATCTTATATCTGCGGGAATTATTGGTTTGTATAAGCTATGATTTTGGGTTTCTTTCATTTACTATAAGCTGAATCGTAATATTGATACTTTCAAATCTGAATCTAATATTGTATTTCTTGTTAATAATCTTTTTTCCTTTTAGACTTTATTTATTCCTTCAGCTAAATAAACCGATAGTATAGTATATGCACTTTAGTAATAAGTTCATAAATGTTTACACTGTTGATGAATTTTGTTACTTTAGCGTAAAAAAGTTACTGTATAGATCAGTGTTTCCCAACCTTTTTTGTGCTATGCCCCACCCTAATCCTCTCTAAAATTTTTAAGCTCCACCTAGCATATACATAATTTTTAATATTTAAAAATTGAAATATTCACGAAAGAAACTTGAATGATAACGACTACGAAATTTTGTGAGCAAACACAGTAAGTGAACTTTCAAAACATGGAAAACTGAAATTCAAGAAAAAACTCATTTTATTGAAAGTTTTTTTATTATTTAAATTTAGCGACTTCCTTGCGCGTGATACTTGCTGCAAAGAAATTTTATGTTAGGTTCCAATTTAGATAACTTGAGTTGCAAGTCTCCCGGTTTCATTATATCCAACCGATTTCTTTTCTTTTCCTTTTTTTTTTTTTAGCAGCAAATCATTTATGGCACTAAATTCGCATTCAGCAAAATATGAAGATGGAAACGGTAACAATAGTTCTCTTGCAAATTTTGTTGCATTTGGATATCTGATTCTGATTTCCTCACAAAGCTATGTCATCGCTCCTTTTATATTAAATAAAGTTTTAATTGACTTATCATTTTGCATTTCTGCGAGTTCTTCTTTTTACTGCATATTTGAAATATCAGCTAAATCCGCTAGCATTAGCTGCATCATCCAAGTTGGAAAATCAGTTTGTTTTAAGTTACAAAATCTTTTAAATCAGCCGATCAAATTTTCAGATGATCGACAATAACAAGTGTAGCATCACATTTTTGGAGCCAATGAGACTTTTCAAGACTTTGGTGGTAAATAGTATATGCCTGACATAATTTAACAAAGATAATGAAACAAAATATCTTCCTCTTGTATCATAAGTTTTGTTTGTCCTTGAAGTTGTTTATTTAATATATTTAATTTTTCAACGATATTGGCTAAATAACTCACAATTGCCTTGTTATCATCCGTTAACGAATTTTTCATTTCAGGTTTGTCGCTTAAAAAATAACTAAGAGTATCAAATAGTTCCATAAATCTTTCCAAGCAGTTCCCTTTCGACAGCCTTCTTACTTCGGTGTGAAGTACAAGTCTCATATAGTCTTCATTTTGTTCTTCATAAAATAACTTGAAAAGGCGTTCACATTTTGGCCCTAGCTTTAATAGCATTGACACGCTTTATAACTGAATTTAGTACTTCATTTAGAGCAGGCGAATTGTTTTTAGCTACCAGGTTTTCTCTACGAATAACACAATGCGCAAGAAGCATTTCTGGATTCTCATCTTTTATCAATTTTAAGCAACCCTTTTTCTTATTCCATGCTTTATTTTGTTTTTCAACCATCATATTAGGAGCACTATCTGCAGTACAAGATGTATTATATTTTTATTAGTATATTTTTTATATCTAAGTAATTTTTTAGCTTATTATAAATATCTTTGGAGGTAGTGGTGCTTTCTAATGATTTACAGAACATTTCTTCGGCAAAATCCCCTTTATGAATATATCTTATACAAGTTACAAGTACGGCCTCACTGTCTCTCAAAGTTGCTTCATCTATTTGCACCAAACATTTTCTTGTTTACAGCAAGTTATATTTCAATATCCTCATTCATTTAATTCATTTAATTCATAATATCCTCATTCATTTAATCTTTCTTCTGCAAACAGTACTGTTATTTAGTGGCATAGCTTTATCTTTGTCCTCTTTTTCTAGAACAGTTTTAAATGCTGATATTGATGGTTTGATTAAATTCTCCCCTATAGTACGGCTTTTCCCAGGTTAAGCGATGAGTAAAGAAATTTGATAAATAGCCTCAAGAGCACGATTAACAGTTGCATTATGAGCAGTAATATTTTAATATTACTCTTTATTTAAAAAATTTTCCTTAAAGTGGGAAAATAATTCAAATCTGAATTAATATCAGCATTACGTTTCGCCTTCATATGTGCCTCAAGACGACCTAGTTTCATTGATTTGTTGGTCAGGCATAAAAGGACAAAGGTTGATCTTTAAATTATGGTAACTTGGCGATTTTTTGGCGAAAATTTGGTGACCAACTCTCCTACAGCAACCCTCTATTTTTTTTTTTTCCGCCGCCATTTTGTCTTCACGAAGTAAAGACATGTTTCTTTTCTTTTTATCTACTGAACACTTCTTCCAAGAATCTACTAGCCGAATTACACTTATGCTAGAAATTTTATCTAACAAAACTGCTTAATCATGACAAATATTCACTGCAAAATTGGGAAAAAGTGCACAATACCATACTCCTTACGCGTTTTTCAAAATAACACATACACATAAACCATGTACACGCCGACTTATTTTTACTTAAAAAAAATCCCAGAATTACACAAAAATGGCATTGCGCACACTCTTCACTATTCCTGTACAACTGCTTTTTTTTTTCATAATTAGAAAAATTTCAGAAAATACATGACAATTTCTGAATCTTTAAACCCGGTAAAAAAAGAACGTATATGAAATTACCTGATCGTGAAAAAGTATATACCCTTTCCAAATATGAACATTCCTTATATAAAATAAATAAAAATATCCAAAAACTGTTACCTCTAAATCATCTATTATATTATAAACGTCACCAACAAATTCATACCGCAAGCATTACAAATACTTAGTGTCAAATATTTAAATTATTTCCATGCACGTTTACTTCACTAAAAACATACCAAATTCCTACAAACATAAAATTCACAAAATAACTATCATTAATTAAAATATAATTAAATTCAAAAACACTACTTAAAATAAAATAAGCACATACATTAAATTAATAAAAATTAGCTTACAATCCTAATTACTTTAAACTAAATCATTGCTAATAACAATTTTCCCAATAATACCAAATTACTTTACTTCCACCTTACATTTAGAACAATGCATAAAAATAATATCCTCAATAATTAAAAATATTAACTTACCTAATCTTCTTCAGAATCTGCTTATGGGGGATACACTTTTATTATGGATTCAATAAATTATTGACGATTTTTTCTGCGAATTTTTCCTCCACACTTCCGCTAAATAAAAAGCAAATTCTCTTTATCACAAGCCTCGGAATGGCACTTTTTATAGCACTCCACGTGCCCTCTATTGTATTGGTATGTGCACCTGTTTCCGGATCTTTAAAATAATATTTGGGGTTCACAGCAAGATGTTTAAAAACCTTCATCTCCAAACATTCATACGATTTCCAGCAGTCTGAAATAATTATAGTATCCGGTAGAATATATTCTTTTATAAAACTTAATAAGCATCTTTACTTTATCTCGCACAACCTTAAAAAAAACATTTATACTACCCCTTTCAATTCCACCAAACACCCATTTTCCTTCCACTCTCCTACCTCTCTGATACTTCCGCTTCCCAAACTTACTCTCATCAATTTCCACAATAACATTCATACCACCAAGCATACCCATATCATTTTCGCAAAAATTCCACACACACTTCCCTACAAAAAGAATTCCAATCAGCTGCAGTCCTACTGCTAATTTCTAAATCCAAAATCCAATAGTCAACTGGCAATCTATTCACCCAATAATAAGAAATCATAAAATCTCACCCATACAAATGACTTTCAGCAAACCACGTACCCTTCCTTACATTCCGTTTCACAAAATGTCCATTTCACCGGATTTCTTGCAACCGCCATTCAAACTTATCAGTAATATCCTTCCTTTCACACAATCTCATTTCATTCCCACATTTTGGACATTCATACTTATCCGCAATTAAACCTACACTCATGCACCATTCAACCAATTCTTTTGAATTATCACACAAACGCATTAAAAATCTAGAATTCACTTTAGACAGCGCCATACAATCCCAAAATTATTCAACCCTACTTCACACAACACACACAATGAAGCTTAATACAAATAATATACAGCCACAGATATTTTTCCAAATTCCCCCCTTTTCCGATTAAAGAACCGTAATTCGTCCATTAATATCACATGACATATCCCATGATCTCTCATTTCCCTCACACAAAATAATGCATAATCGGAACTGAGCATTGCTCACATTATTACCAAAGTCCCAGGTAGTAACGTTTATCGCCTCCAAAATGTTGCCAAAGTACCAGTTACCATATTCTAAAGATCAGCCAGGACAAAATTTACCGGGTATGAAACCAAATTTTAAATATGCCTCCAAATACCGACAAACATTTTTTCTTGCTTGCACCACTCATTTCACTAAGGGCTGAAAGAAATAAATATAAGATCAGTATAAACAAAGCTGAAAGCAGCTGTTGTGGCCATTCAAGGCAAGAATAATATACCGGTTGCCATTCCTACAGTAAAAAATAAAATAAATTCGTTGGCTGAAATGTGCGAGAAACGTCTGGAAAGCATAATGTGTCGGTTATTTAAATGCCTTTAAAAGCATTTAAATGTCCATGTCTACAGCAAGAATTCTTTATAAAATATTTAAAATGCACCGTAATTTAAAAAACTTTTTTACGTATACATCACTTACATTTTTCTTTATTTTGGGGAATAAAAAATGAAATTTTGACTGCATGAAACATATTTAGAGCATCCTCTGTCCCCTTAAATTCTGGACGAGTCCATTTTCGAATTGCCCCCCCCCTTAACAGCCGCATTGCCCCCTTGTAGAGCGTTACTTTTGGCTTACCTCTGGCTATGCGTAATGATGACACAATAGACTCATCTACAGGAGAATCTAAAATAAACTGAAATGATAACCTTCTACAATTTAATCATTGGCCCATGCCAATATTTTTTGCATTGTTGAACATTGCTGCAATAAGTGGATGAA